AAATTGTGATCCAAGTAAGAGGTTTATCAATGGTTAGAAATTAATTTAATCCTTAGTTGTGAATCACTAATTTCAACTCTTGGATTAATTGTTAATGATGGTTAGAATTAAAGAAAGTTTTGATTGAAAATGAAAGTTGGAATTTGTGTTTGTTTGGTAGTTTTGTGTTAATTTGGAAGTTATGGTAGTTAAGGGTTAATTGGGCAATTGAATGATTGTGAGGAATGAGGTAGTTACAGACCAATTATGTTTGAGTTTAGTGAAAGTACTAAGTTGGAATATAAGGCAAATTGTCACTAGTAATTAACTTGAATTTGAATATTTTTGCCTTGATTTTTATACCTCTTTTGGCTTGAATTTTTAGTGAATCATCTCATGATTTTAAGTGCTTTTGAGAGGTGATTTTCTATTGAAAATACGCATTTTTTTAATGGTGTAAACTCATGGATTAAATTCTGAATTTTTTGGCATGAATCGGTATTGGAAAGTGAAGAACAATCCATGTAGGTGAAGCTTGATAGAAGATAAAATTTGTTTGGAAATTAGCACTTAACATAACCATGACACAAGTCATTTGTGTTGAATGATGATGAATCCTTTGATCAAATGCTTGTAGAATAGGTCTAGAAAAATTTAGGAATCAAAACTGAGTCAATAATCGATAGTTAACAGTCAACAGTTGAAAAAAAAGTCAATCATTTGACCAAAAAGTTAACTATGTCCAAAAGATGTAAGTTTTTACTCATTTTTCTTATAATCCATTCTTTCGATTTGTATCTCAAGAAATATGTATTGTACTATGAATTTTCAATAAACTAATGAAATTTTTCTTTTATTCCAACTTTGCCCTTTTCTTTGAATCCAACACAATCATCTAAATTAAGTAACAATCATTCTAATTTCCCAACTAACCATGAAAAGAGATGATTTGCACCACAAGTAATGTGGGAAATAAACCTAAATAATTACAACATAATATCCTCCTCGAAGATCCATTTAAACCAAATAACTCAATTATTGTTGAACCTTTAGCCTAAATTTGTTGCAATATGTGAATGTCGATGAATGACCTAAATGCAATGATCAAATAGATAAATGTATGCATATGAACAAAACCATAATCCAGAAGAATTGAATGTGGAGTAAGGTAAATTTTGAGGTATGACAAAACAAATCAAATATTTTTAGAAGTTGTTGAAAATCAAATAAAACTGAATCCTCTATAAATCTAGATAAGATCATGTCTTGTTCCCATTGGAGTAAAACCCAAAAGATTGCATTGCTATTTAAGGAGACTCAAACCTAACTTTTAAAGAGTGTGCAAGTAATAAAGATTCGTGTGTTAGGGTTTATATTATGAATTTTTGTTTGTTGTTTGTGCACCACTCTACCACCTACATTTATATCTAAAGGCATAGAGTTTGGTTTGTTAGTTGAGTGTAATTCAACATTCATTATTTAAATTATTGTAGTGATCACTTGGGATTAGTGATTGAGAGAAAGTGATAGAAGTTTCCATATTTAGGGGGAGTCCTAAATAAAAATACACTAATTGAATTAATAAGAGGGGAATTGAACATGGGGTTGTTCATCTAAGAAACTTTGTACAAATTATATTGAAAAGTGGATTTTATTTATTGGGTTAGAAGCCCCCTGGACAAAGGTGTTGTTTGTACTGAACTGGGTTAATAAATTTTTATGTTCTTTTATCGCTTTATCATTTATCATCTTCTTAATCAATAATCTGTCAATTCTGGTTTAAAATATTGAATATATTGGCTTAAGCATCTGGTCTAACATTTGTTCCCTAAAAAAGCAGAATGTCAATTGGCATAGAGCAGGCACCCTTTTATGTTTGGGTGAGCTTCAGGAAAGATATTTTATATTTAAATAGACATCACTAAGGATGAAGGGTCTGTCAATAGACCACTTGTTTTAGATGGCACCAACTATGATTATTGGAAAGCTAAAATGGTTGCTTTTCTCAAATTCATGGACAACAAAACATGGAAATTGTTATAAAAGATTAGAAACATCTTGTGATTACCTCTCAAGATGGAACATCAACATTAAAGCCTGAAGTTGAATGGGCAAATGCTGAAGATGATAAATCTCTTGGAAATTTCAAGGCATTGAATGTTATTTTCAATGGTTTTGAAAAGAACGTGTTTAGATTGATCAACACATGTTCTGAAGCCAAATAAGCATGGAAGATTCTCAAAATTGTTCATGAATGCACATTCATGGTTAGAATGTTAAGGTTGCAGCTCTTCACTACTAAGTTTGAGAATATGAGAATGAATGAAGATGAATCTATTTTTAACTTCAACATCATATTGTGTGACATTGCCAACACCTTTTTTGCATTAGAACAAAAGACGTCGAAAGAAAAGCTGACTAGAAAGATCCTAAGATCTCTTTCTAAGAAATTTGATATGAAGGTAGAAGATATTGAATAAGCCCAAGAACTAAGCAACATCAAAGTAGATGAACTCATTGGTTCTTTACAAACCTTTGGGGTGGTTTTAAATGATAGGTCTAAAAAGAAGAACAAAAATATAGCCTTCATATCCAACACTGAAGAAGATGAAGATCAAGGTGAAGAAATTCTATTAGAGGCTATAGTCATTGTTGGGGGAAGTTTAATAAAGCTTTAAGAAGGCTTGGCAGAAATTGGAGGACAAATGTCCCAAACAAAGTGTCAGACATGAGTCTCCTAAGAGTAAGAGCAAAGATAAACACAAACCTAACAGAGAAAAAGGAGCACAATGTTATGAATATGAAGAGTTTTGTCACATTAAAGTTGAATGTCCTACCTTTCTAAAGAAACAGAAAAAGGCATTGCCAATCACTTAGTTTGAATCTGATAATGAGAGTGAAGAAGAGACGGCTAACAAAGTGATGGTTTCATTGAAAATATGATTTTGGTAGTGAGTATAATGATGAAGATATCTCAATGGAAAAATTAGTTAAAACATACAAACTTTTGCTCAGTGAGTAGAAGAAAAATTGTTTGAGAAAAAAGAAACAAAAGAAGACTATAAGTGCTCTACTTATGGAAAAAGAGAAGCTTGGCTCAATCATTGTAGGTCTGGAAGAAGAAGACATGTTGTTAAAGTCCAAACTTGACAATATAACAAAATATGTACGTATGTTAAACAATAGTTCTGATATTTTAGATGAGATCTTGTAAATTGAGGAGAAGTTTAAAAATATGAAGACTATAGGATTTGACTATAATTCTATAAACAAAAAGATCAAAATTCTCGTTAAAAAAGTTTTTCTCTGGAAAAAAAAAACTGAGCTCATGATGAAGGATCGCATGTCTCAATATCTTATACAACATGAGTTAAAAAGATAAAAGTTAAAAACTCTTTTTTTATCTTACTAAACTGACTATTATACCACCCACATATATGACCTTGCCATTTTAAACATCTTAAGTCCTTCACATATACTTAGAAGGAAGTTTTTAGCAACAAACTTTATTTATTCTCTATATTTATCCTGAAAAAAATTATCTAATTAAAAGATCAATTTAAAGAGTCATAAAATCAAAAAAAAATTATCTAATTAAAAGATCAATTTAAAGAGTCATAAAATCAAAAAAAAAAAAAAAAAAATCTTGTGAACATTTATTCTATTCAACCACCATCGTCAAGGTGAAAACAGTAAAGAGAAGTATGAGCATAAGCACAGCAATCACACATGAAACAGTAGAGATGAACTCATACGTGAAATAGAAGAGATGAATGTTTAAATAAATATTGCACTTATGAAAACTCAAATAAAAACAAGTAAACAATTATGAACAAAAATGGAAGACAATAAAAACAAGAGGTAAATTAAGAAAACATACTAGACAATATGAGGATGATTAAAAGTATATCTACAACATTGGAGATTTTAGATAGAGCATGTGAAAAATGGGAGATTTTCGATAGAGCATGTAAAAAATGTGAGGATTTAACCGAGCACCATCCAATTAGATCTAGCAACCCTCCTTTTTATATTATTAATATTTTAGAATTTTTTTATTTTTTATTTAAAATTTTAAAATTTTCAAAAATAAACATAATTATCAAAAAATTTCATTTTTAACCAAAAATTTAAAAATTTAAAAAAAAAAAAACTTACACTATAAAAATAGAAAATTTCAAGCACAATACCGAAAATTTCCAGTGCAATTCCAAAAATTTTTTGAAATTTTATCTGGTACAATCCTGAAAATTTTAAAATTATGATATTCTGCATAATTTTTTCAAAGACAATTGTTAAATTCTCAAAAAAAGTAGAATCACTTAATCCAAAAGTTGCAATTGGTTTGAAACCGAAAAAGTTTCATCTAACTATGGTAAATGGTCTGTGTTTTACGTCCATACCCATTATAATAAAAAGACAGATTCATTAAACAATGATGAACAAGTAAGTACTGCAGTTATGAAAACTCAAATAAAAACATGTAAACAATGACGAACAAAGAATAAAGATGTGTAGAAGCAAGATGTAAATTGAGAAAACATACTAGAGAATAAAGGGTGAATACGTTAACGCCAATGTGATTGGATAAAGAAGAAACTTCATCGTGAAAGAAAACCTTAGAAAGTGTTTCCTACAACATTGAAAATGGATACAATCTAATCCCAAAACACATTTAGGATTCAAGTCATTTTAATCTAAACTTTTAGGGAGCTTGAACAACAGTGACACTACTGAATGTTGATAAAATACAAATGAACTACATTGTAATTGTGTCTAAATAATAAAACATATGCAGAAAAGCATACAACATATTGAACAATGATACAATCTAATCCCAAAACTCAGGGAGCCATTCAAATTCCCTTTACTTCCTTACAATTGAAAGAATATCTTTCATTAAATTAAATATTCATTGTCAAAATATTCAAATTGATGACAATCTAACTAATCCATTCATTTGCTAGTAGGCAGGCAATATATCATTTGCATTTATGCCTCCAAATCGTCCCAAAACTTCATCAATTAGGCACTGCAGTAAACAAAAAGATGTTAGATTTATGACCAAGATAAAACTAGCATCACACTTATGAAAATATTAATGAAGTCAATCTTTTCTTCTTGTTTCATGTCTAAAAGTGTAAAGTATTGTATGCTAACATCATACTTGTAGTTTTGATCAATTATTATTATATGTCAACATCACATTTAGGAAAATATTAATCAACTCAATCTTTTCTGCTTCAGTTTCATGTCAAAAAGTATTAAACGCCTAAATCATACTTGCAGTTCGAATCAATTATTATACGCTAACATCATACTTCCAGTTCTGATCAACTGTGCGTCCACTATAACAATTTAGGTCATTAAGTACTAAGAAAAGGGAAAATCATCTTACTGTATGTGGAGGTGTCAATTTGTTCAGGAAGCTCCTTTATATCAACTTCGAACCTAGATTGCACCTGAAATCATCATAGTTTAGATATTTGTTAGTCAAGCATTGTTGGTCAAAAGGGCCCCTTTCCTCTCCATTTTCTCATTTGAAGTGAAAACATTAAACCTTATAACACCATGAAAGTGGGCTTCACTAACCTGATTAAGAACTTCAGAATCACCAGCAGAAGACACAAAGGTAATTGCAAGCCCCTTGGTGCCAAATCTACCAGCTCTTCCCACCTAGCAATCACATGTTCATAAAGCATATAAAGATAGAAGGAACAGATATTATCTATAAGCATGTAGGTAAGCATACCACAGACATTAAATCTTAAATAATTCATTTGATCTAAAAGCACTTACCCTGTGAAGATAGGTATCAGCAGAATCAGGCATGTCATAGTTGATGACTATATTAACACGTTCTATATCAATCCCCCTTCCAACTAAATCTGTTGCCACAAGAATCCTTTGCTTTCCCTCTTTGAAGCCCTTGTATCGCTTCAATCTAAAACACAGACATGTTAGCTAGTTATGGAAAAATATTAAGACTGCAATTACTGCAACTTCAAAAGAGAGTTTACATAATTTTATTTCAAAGACACAACATAGATTCTCTTAATTTTTCACCTAAAACAATAAAAATTAAAAAAGAGATCTGTCCTAATAGTAAATAAAATGTAAGCTAGTTGTACAAATATGAGGAAAAAAATCTATGCTAATTTAAGAAATAACAGAAGATCATGAACAAAACAAGCCAACCAAAAACACAGGAAGTATATATGTAGATTGTAGATGCACCAAGAAATAAAATGGAATGCAGAATCTTGTTATTTGGCACAAAATATGGTTTGTGATAGATTAAATAACCAGCAGTAAGGATTGCATCCAACAAAAAAACTTGAATCATATGCCTTTGGATGACATAAAAGACTTGAATTTGGAAGAATAATATTCTAGCATTATAACTCTGTTACAATGTAAACTGAGCAACCAAGTTCGGTAGAAATCTAAATTTTATGAAGAGGAGAAACTTGACAACTGCCATCATTTAAAATTTTTGTAGGCTATGTAGCACCGACACCTCTGAAAAATGGTGTGTCGGTGTCGGACACCGACACTTGTGATTACCTTTAATTTATTCATTTTTCAAATTATTATTGGTGTTTCCGGGTCAGTGTCATGTCGTGTTCAGGTTGTCTGTGCTTCATAGTTTGTAGGAGATAAGTTTGAGAGAAGGGAAGCATTACCAACAATATTATCTGAAACCCTAGTGTCAAACCTTCAGCACCTTCACTTGTGACATTTTGTGATTTTCACTAAATGGTGGCCGATAAAAAGCCAGAAAAAATCTGATTGTTATCACAAAAAAAGTAAAAACTGATTGACGATGATGAATACTAAGATGGGATATAGATGGATGACCGGAAAACATACAAACGGTGGCCAACAGTTGTACAGACGTAGCAGGAGAAATCCGGACAGTGGCTGATACTGAACTGCAGCGGCCAGATAAGAATGGAAAGCAAAAGGTATTGCGACAGAGCACAAAAGAGGAAAAGGGAGAGCAAAATCGAGCTTGCTCTCATACCAACTTGAAAACTTGATGATAAACTAAAAGAGATTTCTGAATGATTTAATGAGTAACATACTCAGCAAGAGCAAATATTTATATCGTACATGGTAAATACAGTTAACGAGAAGAGGAATTATAACTAGCATTAACTTTTAAAGTTCAAAGAATCTAAGAATGCAATGAAGCCTATGATATTATGATTTTTAATTAAAATTGTGAAGTGCAATGAAGCCTATGATATATTCTATTTCCGGTACGGATAAGATTTCAATCTAGAGTCCTAGAATAATAGTTTTCTTAACGTGGATTGCTGAAGTACATGACACTAATATAAAAAACACAACCTTTATTCATAGTACTATGATAGGTACATCAGCTTTCAAAATACGTAAGAGATTATCTAGCATCATAGGATACTATAGTGAATGTTTTGGTTTTAACCCCGTATTTACCAATGCCAAAAAATGGTAACATAAGCAAATAAAACATACCCAAGAATGAAAAAGAAAAAATAACACTGAAAGAACATAAAAAATGTCTGACGAACATTCTGAAAAATCATGATTAGTAACAGAAATATGCTTTAATTGACTGATGAGCATGGAAAACATCCTAGAATGTCACAATGTTAGCAAATCCTAGATCAGCTTAAAGAATTAAGAATACACCAGACAAAGTATATGCCATCAATTTCAAAAGACCTAATAAATACCTTTCTTCTTGTGACATTCCAGAATGTATGCATATTGACGGGAAGTTACACTCAACAAGCAACTTGTTCAATTCTGCTGCTCTGCTAACACTTTTGACAAAAATAACAACTTGGTTGAAGTCAAGAGCATCAAGAAGGTCATTCAGCTTACGATTCTTCTCTGGCTCTTGTAATTTAATGTAGTGCTGAAAAATGTGACGAATGAGTAAAAATTAGTAGACAAAAAGATATCAACAAGAACAAGGAATAAACAAAGTCCACAAACATACCTGAACAAGACCGTGAAGAGTCAATTTGGCCTCATCGTCTACATAAATTTCCATGGGCTGGAGGAAAAAAGATTATGAATGAGAAGATAAACATCCATTAAAAGAATCAGTCATTTTGATCTATAGAACAGAATATTTGCAAATTAATATAAAATAGGATAGAGTCAAAACAAAACAGAAATCTGACCACAAAATCATCAAAATGATTTAAAATAAAAGAATTGATGACATTCAACAAAAATCGCAATAATTTGAATTGAAAATAATAGCAGTGTGAACACTAAGAGGAACAATGAGACTGCCCTCCCATATACAGTCCAAAAATCACCACATAAATAGAATATTACATCTTGCATAAATTTCTTGCAAACAGGACGGATATCTTTGCTGAGCGTAGCCGAAAACATCATCACTTGTTTATCATGGGGAGTCAATTTGAAAATTTCTTGCACATCTCTTCTCATGTCTGCAAAGGACAAAATGACAGATATATTAAGAAACCAAAAAAAAACAGAATTAGATTTGCAAATTCAGCAACACACTCAAATTTAAGGGAAAAAGGAGGAAGAAATAGACCGAGTGATTCCAGCATCTTGTCACACTCATCGAGTATAAAATGCCGCACATTCTTCAAACCAAGGTCCTTATCTCTAGTCAGGGCAAGAATCCTCCCAGGTGTTCCAACAACAATGTGAGGACACTCGTTCTTGAGCAATTCTTTGTGAACCTTGATGTTGACACCACCATAGAAAACAGCAACTTTTATATCTGAAAGATATGTGCTGAACCTCTCGACTTCGTGGCAAATCTAAACAAATCCAAAAAACAAATGAAGCATTTTCTAAGTATGCACGTGTACACATATATTTGTGATAATGTGTGTTGGAAACACCGGTAGTTCTTTCGCAAAATGCTTTTGATATATTACATCCAAACTAATGAAGACATACCTGATAAGCTAGTTCTCTTGTATGGCAAAGAACAAGTGCGGCAACCTGACCAGGAACAGGGTCAATTTGCTGAAGTGTTGACAGAACAAAAACAGCAGTCTTTCCCATGCCAGATTTTGCTTGGCAGATGACATCCATTCCCAAAATTGCTTGAGGGATGCATTCGTGTTGCACTAATGAAGAAGCAAAGAAAATTGTAGTGGACGAATCCTCAGTAAGTATATATGATCTGCCAGATCCTTTTAATGTAAAGGTTTACCAACCAATTTTTGAGATGTATTCATAATATGCTAGTAGTGATTACCTGATTAATTCAAAGAAAAAAGATTAGAGGATAGTGAACAATAATAATGAAACAAAAACAAGATGCATGAGAGCTAACATGTGAAAATGTGAAATTCATATTCACTGGAATGGAATAGCAATAAGTTAGAGGAATTGAGATAAAAGGACTAAATCATACAATGATCAATAATTTATACAAAGATGAGAGGGGGGAAAAGAGTTGGTGAATTGTGTGTTGAACTATTGTAAGAGTTAATGGAATTCCCTTTGGCAGAGTTAATACTGATAGACTGTGTTATGTGGTTCTTTTCTATTCTTGTGTCAGCTGTTCGTTTAACCACATTGATTAGCAAGATTCAATCATGACATTGTGTAAAATATATTGAGAATGGTAACAGAAAGTAGAAAATAATGGCATCAATATAAAAAATGATATTTAATAAAAGCCCAAAACATGAGAAGTCCGTAGAATTCGCTTGACTCTTTGCCTATATACTGAGCGGTGTAATGACATCATATAGTAAAACTTGCCTTCTGAAGGATGCTCAAATCCCGAATCTACAATGGCTCGAAGAAGCTCCGGTTTCAACAGGAAGTCTCGAAATCCCGAACTATGGATGCCAACGTAGCCCCTGCACCACAAAAGAAAATAAATGCAGTGAGGAAGAGAAACTCAAAAAGTGGCTTTTGAACGTTACTATTGTTTGATAAAGAAGATTACACCAATCTAACAGGATAGTGGAGATCGCTAGCCCAAAGATTATAAATACAAGATACATAGAAAAAAAAAGAGACCAAATAAATTTGATGCTCAAAATTGGAGCAAAGCTTGCAGGAAATCACCAGAGTTAAACAGAAAAAAAGCTGATGGGAACTAGGTACACAAGACAGAAATGAAAGTGGCAACAGACTTGACGCTCGTACAACCAAAGGTTAAAATTTTGTGCTGCCATAGGCCGCTGGTTCACGCCATTAATAATTGTATGTCACAATTCAGAAATAAGATTTGTTTTTACAGCTTACCATACATTATCACATTGTACCATATGCTTAAACCAAATTTAATTATGAAGTGCATAATAGACATTAGTTCTCCAGCCAAAACCAGTATAATAATTACTTCAAAAATTAAATAACAAAATAAGGAAAATAGTTAAATCACCCTAGGGAACCAAATTTGTTGTAGTTAAAAAACATATACAGTCACTGCAATTCACAAACCACAGCCAACAAATAAAGATCTGACAGCTAATATTCAAAGTTCATCATACTATTTGGAATCGAATTTACTTAAGTCAGATCTTCATCCAATAACTCAAATTGAAGCAAAATCTTTACTAAACTCACTATTAAATTTATAGTACATCAAATACTTATCATCATATTCATAATCCATCTACAATTCTTTAAAGCATAACCAGTTAAATTCAATTGAAGTAAAATAAGAACTATTATTACAACTACTACTTCCATGCGATACATGTAGGAGTCACACAAAAAAAACAATATCAAATTATTACATACCAGCGTATATACAAAAATAATAATAATAATAATAATAATTAGATTACATAAGAGAGAAAAGAAACTAACTTCTTGACGGTTTCGGTAGTTGGTTTAGCAGAATCAAGAGCCTTTTCATCCTCCTCTTCATAGTCGATAAGCTCTTCCTCGTAAACCTCAGTTTCTTTCAATTCACCCATTTTCTTTGTTTTCTGCAAATTATGGTTAGGGTTAGGGTTAGGGTTTTCAGTTTCAATAAGTGAGAATTGAAGAGAATAGAGTGTAGAATTTATTGAATACATAGTGAGAGATAGAGAAAGAGAAAGTAGAAGCTAACCTTTGAAAGCGCGAAGAACTAGCGGCTTCTTCTTCTCGGAAATGAAAACCCTAGATCTGATTTCTGGGTTTTAGGAAATGAAATGGAGCAGCAGAGATTGGAGCTGTGGCGGAAACAAATAGTGTGTGCGGTTTGTTTAATGGACTGAAATGCCCTTTTAATTTAGCTTGACGTAAGCATGCACGACATTTTTATAATTGCTCGCAAGAGTGGGTTTTTTTTAAGACAACCTTGGAATTTTCTTTTCTTTGTTTTTAACTTACAAAAATTTCATTGTAAGCACTACTAGTACGTTGTTAGATTTTTTTTTTAGACTAAAGTACATTTTTAGATCATTTATGAAGTTTTAGACATATTTTTTCTAAGTAGAAGTATATGATTCTACTAATTGGCTTTCCTTGAAAAAAATATAATAAAATTTAAAATTGGGAATTTTTTAATGTATCTTATATATTATATTAGTTAGACATTGCATAAAAATATTTTAAAAAATTTAGATTTCGGAGATATATCTTTAAAGGCACCTAATGCACACACAACTTAGGTCATTTTTAGTGACGCCCTATTAGTTTGGTTTTTTTAATCCAGAAATGCATCTTTGGAACCTATTGGTAGATACATATGTGAATCATATGTGCAACAGAATCAGAGGCATAAAGCATAACTTTGTATTTTGATAAAATAAAATTATCATTCATAACATAAAATAAGCATTAAATTAGTGATTTCAACATAAAATGAAACATTATATTTCAATATTCAGGTGAACGCTTCAACATCTTCACAATATTTTTTTACTGATCTTGAAATCGCCGCTTCCAACTCGAGCGGAACTTTTGTTTTGAAACGGAAAAAATATGTTTCATATAGCCCTTACATTTGCATTTGTCTTGAGCTCAAAGTTTCTAACCTCAATATTCCTTTCGTTGTCAATCGACGGTGAACGGTACTCGAGCTTGACAATTTTTTTATTATTTTCGTAAGGTAGGAGATTATGGACTTCGTATTTCAGATCTGCAAAAGAGGTTTGTCTACTCATTGATCTTAAACTTTCGCCTAGGTGTCGCACTAGAGAATGAGACATTTGCGACATACCAAATAATGTTTATTTGTGACATTTGAGACGTTTTTTATTTGTGTGAAATAAAAAAAATAATAGCACCTTATTTTATAGAAGTTGTAGACAAATGTAAGCCTCGAAGATTTTGTCATGCTGACTTTAGAAATATATCTCTGGTTCGACACCCTATTATCTTGTTCTAGAGATACATCTTCAGAATTTATCCAGAACCAGGCAGAAAACAGAACATAATTGATGACTTTGTTTGACAAATGAATAAATGTTTTGGCAAAGATAAAAAAAATATATTAAAATATTAAGAAACTGTATATATTACACTTAATTAATACTAGTGTCCAAACGGGCACGTCCGTGCCTGTTTGTCCGCTTTTTTTATTGCGCTAACGCGCAAAAATATTAACAGTGTGTTTTTTTATAAATTTAATTTTACTATAAATTATTTATATTAATTTTAATATAAATTATTTATATGATGAAACATTAAGTTTTGTATTTATATATTACTATAAATTAGTCAAAACCATAAGAAGATTTAGATAGAAAAAGAACAAAAATCTTTCTCACAATTTATTAAGCAACTAAATATAAACATTAATACGGATATTAAGTTACATTATTGCTTAATAGGAAGGTCAACCCTGGAATCAAAATCAGAAATATCTCTCGTTTCACTGCAAAACAAATGAAGTAATTCATTAATATATTTTTTATTTGATTTTGGTTTTAATTTAAATTATTTATCATATATATATGGTCAATGAAATGCTTGCAAAGATTGTTGCAACAAAACTCTTTCATTTATTGAAGTAATACTTTAAGAAATGTTTTAACATTTGATTTTCATTTCCCTGCATTATCTTGGAGGTGTGTGTAATCTTTAATATTTATTGTTCGTTTTCTATTATATTATTAGTATTGTATTAAATACAGATGAACCAATTCATAAATAAACAATTCATATATTTCTTATCTTTAAGACCAATGGGTTTAAAAAGAAAGACACTTAAAAATAATGTTTCATTGTTTTTAATAATATTCTCTAATCAAATCAATATAATTTGATATTTAGTTGCAACAAGTAAATGCAAAATCAACAAAATAGATTCTAAAATAAAGGCAAATTATCTCTTAAAGAAATAATCATAACATTGTAAAGGAAAATAAACTTCATATCAATTAACAATGAAGTATGATAAAGAATTAGAGACTGGTGATCAAATAAGAGATGAAGATGAAAAAAAAATTTCTCTATTTATCTTTCACAAACCATAAATAGTGGAGTATGATGATATATTTTTTTTATGTTGCCACTGAATGAATGAATTTCCATTTCTTATTCATTTATAAGTGTGTTTTGCACTTCCATCATTTTTGTAAGAGATGCATAACTATCAAAATTGTTTTTTTTTTCCATTAAAAAAACCAACTTTGATAATTATGTTCATCTTATAAAAAAAATCGTATCATTTTGTTAGCACTTTATTTTTAAAAATTAAATAAATTGCGTACAACTTAAAGGATAAAATGGGGGTGAAATAGGTCTGTCCAAAATCATCTATCTTCTTTATCTTTATCTATAGTTATAAAATAGATAATAGTTATAGAATAAATAATAGTTATAGAATATATTAAGTAGAGTTTAGAGAAACCATAATAAATATTATAAAAAGAAATTTTTTTTATGAGAATAAAAAGAAATCATAAATAAAAGTTAGGGAGATAAATACAAATAAAACCCACAAATAAATTAATCTCACATAAAGTGAAATAAACAAAATTTTGAGAGATTAAAAGTTTCATGTTCTTGTTAGACAAAAAAAAACATATAAATTATTCTTCAAAAACTAAGTAAAATAGACAACGTATAAAGAGAAAAATATATAATAAACAAAATTTAAGAAATGTGAATAAATTAGAATATATTTACAATTCCATATATGTAGCATTCTGCCTCTTTTGAAATTAATAGTTTCTTCAACTTTCATTAAAAACATAACATAAATATTAAAAAAATAAAAATAAAAATGAGAGAGATGAGTTTTTTCTTTAGTTTTAAACGAAGAATTTAAGAGAGAAAAGAAGAGAGATAATCAATCAACATTGCAAAACCAAATACATAAGACATTTTTCAGTATTATGTATCTACTTCGGTGGAGTGTTCGCAGATATTAATAAATTTATTAGAATTTTGATATAATAAATAGAATTTATATAATAATTAACAACTTTAATAATAATTTTACATAGAGTTAGTTCAAAAATACAAAAAACTACAAAGTAATATAATTAAAATGAATAACTTTTAATAACTAATCAAACCTATAGAAATAATTATAAGTGAATGATTTATATCTGTTACATTTTGAAAGATTATGCTTTTGTGTTCTTCCCATTGTCTTGCACATTCTTCTATCTTGCTTGATTTATCCATTAAAAACTAAAAAGAAATTTAAGAATCATTATTAAATATATAAAAATAGTGATGTAGAAAGTATGTGTAAGAAAATTAAAGTTATTAGGTATTTTCAAATATTTAAGAATCTTTAAATTTTGAAGAAGAAAAATTGAAAAAATGAAAATATTGAAGATAAAAGTGCAGGTAGTATGTGATAAAGAAAGGAAATGGTAGAATATTTAAAACAAAAGGAATGATACGTGAATAAAAAAACGGCATTATGTTGTTGATACTCAAAGAAACTACACCAAAAATATGAATTTATCATTAAGACTTAATTACACATTAAAAATAATAAGAACACAGAAATTTGACTTCTTTCTTTCTTATGCATTACCGATGATACTAAATAATTTTCAATAATATTCATTTTTTAATCAAACAATATAATGAAATGAATAAAATTAAAAATAGGTAAAAGAATCAATCAAAATAGTTAAACTTTAAAAGTTAGTGAGAATATTAAAATTAAAAAAAAGATAATATGAAAATTGGAAAAATAACTTCTTCTCCGTAAAAAAAATCTCTATGTTTATGTTAACAACAACTTTTTTCTACTTCAATGTCTTCAAACTAATTAAAAACAAAAACTTAATAAGAGTTTCTAAAAGAACATAACAGAAAAATTAAAGTTAATTTAGAGAAATACTACAGAAAAGATAGCAGTTACCATTATTATCTTTCTCTTTCATTTTCATCTTTGTTTTCTTTCTTCCATATCTTTAATTTGCTTCTCCAACATTTTTTTTCTCTCTCTCTCTCTCTCTTAATATATCTAATGGGAAGGATATAAAATGGAGAGAGAAGATGGATTGGTTTAGAAACCGCATAGAAGTTATGAAAGATGAAGAATAATAACTAACTAATAAAAGAATGTAATAAAATCAATTTATTATGGACAAAATTGGAAATAAAAAAGCTACACCAAAAATTTTTATTGCCTTTATATATTGTTATAAATTATTTATATGATGAACCATTAAGTTTTGTATTTATATATTGCTATAGATTAGTCAAAACCATAAGAAAATTTAGATAGAAGAAGAACAAAAATATTTCTTAATAGGCAACTAAACATAAACATTAATATGGATATTAAGTTACATTATTCCTTAATAGGAAAGTCAACCATGGAATCAAAATCAAAAATATCTCTCGTTTCACTGCAAAACAAATGAAGTAATTCATTAATATATTTTTTATTTGATTTTGGTTTTAATTTAATATATTTATCATATATATATATATATATATATATATATATATATATATATATATATATATATATATATATATATATATATATATATATATATATATGTTTATT